AGAGTGAAACCATCGGTCACGAATTCAAATCCGTTTCGCTCACCAGACGTGTAATTTTTGTCTAGTGCAAGAATTTTACCGTGATTTTACTATGGCAATTCGTGAAAAATTCGCATGCAAGTGCAAATTACACCCACACAACGATTAGACCTATGAGTTACGAGCGATCAGTGCGATAATGCACCTGACATATAAAACTTATAAAATTTTGCAATAGTATAATCGCAGTTATTACGATAATTACAGCGTGACAGCAGAAATGTAAATACATTCTAAAAGAATCGAAATCGAAAAAAGGCAACGGCATGCACGTAACGCAAAGGTCACGTCTAAAAATGGCCCGATTTAGTAACATTCCATGTGCAATGATGACGTTATTGTGTGAAATCAAAACGTTACATCTGATAAAGATCGTAGATTTTCTGTGTTCCGTGATGCCTCCCAGCTATCTCAACTACATCGTAGGCGGCCAAGCGCGAGAGGCACGTGCCCGTGAACCAAGAAAAAACCGAACAACCGAAGAGGAGAGTTATAAATCTAGACGCTTTCTTTTGTTGTAACAATGGCGTTAACTAACGTCGTTAATTATTTACGAGGCCGCTGCGATACGGTTACGGTTACCTCGCGTAACGTCCGCTTAAGCCACAACCAATAGACCGGAAACGAAATTTTCAATTAAGCTCAAAAGCATTACCACGCTGACTTATCAAATCTGTAATTATCCTTCAGTGTGATTATTATTCCAGTAATTTAGAAAATTAGACGGTGCTGCGTTTACGCAAATTATATGCGGTTTGCTAAATTAAACAACACAATTAGTCGAGACACGGAAAAAGATCGCAGAATAAGATCAACGAACTGTCTTCCATGATGCAAATTCATCTAAATTGGTATTTTACATTTCATATGTAAAGCATTCTGCATATGATCAAACTGAGAAGTCCCGTTGGTTATTGGTCGTTTTCGCCCCTTGCTACGTAGAAACTTGTGAGAAAACTTCTTCTACGACATTCTATGTTAAAGTTCACAACTCATAATCTTGGACTTTTATCGCTGAATGTTAGTGTAGCGAAACGAAGACAATGGATTTGGAAGAAAAATATGAATTGAGAAAAGAAAAGAAATTTAAATAGCTCTACTGTTTCAAGTGATTTATTCCAGCAACTGGCAATTTAGTAATCGCTTTACGCAACTAAGCTTGACTAGTTGTTATTTTGTGTATCTGTTTTTTGTCACGAATGTGGGTATTATTTGCGGAGCCGAAGCGAATAATCACGTGAATAACAAAAAGTAACTTCAGTGAGGAGATACACATTGGAGTTTTTCTGAAATCAGTAGAATTTATGGTAAAAATCTGAAGTCTTGTGTATGAAGTAGATTCATTAGATATCATTTTTGTTTTTCCGTACGTTTGGTTGTATTTTGTACAATATAACAAGTCTTGTTAATTTAAAATTGTATTGAATATATTGTTACGAAATAAACCCATACGGCGATGATGGATGAATCATCGTCGGTGACGGCGGTAGGGCGGCGTTCGCTAAAAAGAAGCCTGGAAGTGCAGGTCGCGGTGGGTTTTCCAGAAAGACCTCGATCGCAGAACATATAGAAGGAAGTATGGGTTTAAATAGGGGCCACCTTGGAGAACGAGTCTCAGTCTCAGCCAACGAGTGAAGTCCAGCAATGGCAGAAGTAGTCGCTGTGTAATTAATCGTGTAAATTTGAGTTACTAAGAAATAATTTGTTGAGTTTAAATACCCGTTCAACGTAACAATATGTATAAATTCTCACATTTTACGACGGTTTTAAATGCAATACTTCTCTCTCAGAGCATAAAATAATTGAGTTCTTATTTCAGCGACTTTCCTTTCCTCTGTAACTGTATTCATTTTATTAGTTGATTTTATATAGTTTGTAAAAAGAGTGAAACACGGCTTTCATTTACAGTTTATTCTGAGTACCCATCGCATCACATCAGAGACAAGAAGACGATTTTAGATTCTTGAATGCTCCTACAAAATTACTGATAGCTTTTACTTCCCGAGCGTAAGCTACCGGACCGATTGTTCTCAAATTTTATACATATTGGTATAACGCTGATCATCCCCACCAGTAATTTGAAGACGTCACCTCAAAATTTTGCATATTAAAGACTATTCAAATTTTATAAAATAACATATTCCTGTAGAGAATAAGGAAGTAATGTAAAACACAATTTAGTTTATGAATGTAGCCCTAGATTTTTTGCAAAAAATCAAAATTGTTCGTGACTGGTATTATCTATCTTATTTATTTATATTTATGCAAATTTAAATTATGCAAAGACAATTTTCTGGTTTGATTAAAGAAAATTTTGAACGAAAACTCTTTGATATAATATTTTAAACCAAACAGCAGAGTGATGTTTTAATAATAATGAATATTTATTTGATAAATCGAAAAATCTGACAAATTTTACAATTTGAAAAGGACACAGGACGAAACTTCGGAATGGAATGCATAAAAATTAATATAACGTTGGTGTTTTTTCAAATGATGAAACATGTTCTTGTTTATTTGATTGTTTTTTAATTTTTTTAACGTCTTTGTTGATTCTTTCTTTTCTCATTGGAAAACCGAATACTTTGAATCCTTGCAACCGTTTCAAGACTATCGTAAGCCTAGTACAAGGTTAATAAAATTTTGGCGAATAAATACACCTACCCTGGGGGTTTATCCATGTTAATTTCTTACTTTAGACACCCAGATTTTTGGAAAACCTTAAAATTGTGTAATAATATTTAACTCCTGTATTTGTGGTTTATGAGTTATGTTCATTTTTTCCCTTGACATCCAGATTTTTGAAAAAAAAAACAAAACGGTATAGCAACATTTTACGATTTAACTTTGAAATTGCAAAACTGAATGCCCTGGAATCTTATTAACGTTTTAAGGTAATCAAAAACATGGTAAGCTGTTCATCAAAATTTTATTAATAAAAAAAATCGGTTTGTCTTGATTAGGATTATGGTTTAAATATTTCAGATAATCCTAACATGGGAACTTGAAATTACTGGACGTATGGCTTTTGTTAAACACTTTTTATTTTTATTACATATGTATAACGTAAAATATACTTTGAAAATATTACAGTGAATTTGTAGTTATAGTAAAATAGTACGTACAGTCTTAATCTACCATACTCCAAATTTACCACTTTCTAATATAATAATCGACACGATAACACTCATTTTTCCGGACGACTTAAATAAAATTGAATTCGTTGCTATAAATTAGGAAAGTTAGCCGAGAATGCTAACAATTATTTGAACTGATCACTCAAACCGTCCGTTTTTGTTAAAAACTCTACCAATGACTGTATCACTAATTTTCCACTAATACATCCCTTAAGATCGTTCGAAATATTTTGAATTAATTAATGGGATATTTTGATTTTAATAAAGACATTATTATTATATAAATTGTACTACTAACAACTGTTTACTATGATAATGGCTTTTGAAATACATTACTGTACCAGGATGAAGATTTTCAAGCGAAGCTGTTTTTACGATATTTCTGTCATATTTTTTTGGTTTTAACTGTATATCCAATGATATATGATTATTCATTAATAGAAACTTTGTTTCCTGTAGGATATTCCACCTAAATATTGATTTAAGTACTTAGCTTAAACTAAAAAAGAGATTTTAACGACTTGAAAATTTTTATTTATATGCAATAACTGATTCCGTTTTGAGTTGACTCACTAGAGAAGTTGTAAATATATTTTCTTATGAAGCTCTCAAAGCAAAACTATATATTGTGAATTAATTTAATTATCTCAGTTTTCTAGTCACATATCTTGCATTATTTGAAAATGAGGATTGTTTTTAGATATAATCCTTTATTACTGGCCATTACAGCGAAAATGGTTTTACAGTGCTTCGTGTTTTTAAAATCTAGCGAGACAGAATTTATGTTAGACGCATTTTTCTAACTGTTGATGTTTAACTGATGGCTTTGAATGAAATTAGCCGTTTTATAACTTTACATACACATTTCTTTAATTCCTGTTCTTTGTGTTTTACAAGCATCCATAAACATCATCGTAGATTAATTTTAACACCGTTAGGAGTTATAAAAACCGTTAACTGTTTTATTTTAGTGTTATTTCTGATATGATTTGCTTTTTCGAACGTGTTTGGATTTTGGGTTTGTGGTTAGACACATGTTCTACAAAATTCCCACTACGAAATCGTCTATTTGGTTCATAAATAACCCAACCGGCCCACTAAATTGTGATCTGACTGCAGTTTAGCACAGTTTTCTTTTACTAGCCTTTTTTTCAGAGGTATCTACTTAGCCATAAAATATTATATGTAATGTATAAGTGAGTAGCAACATTTTTATGGTCCTATCCTAAACATCTTTCGTGATTTACGATTCGGAGAAAATATATTCACATTTTTAGCATAATTTAGCAAAACGTTACCAAAAAACAAACAGAAGGTGTTAAAATTTTAAAGAATGGCGATGTATTTTCTTCGATCCATCTCCTTATTGAGAAGAAAGTTGGTATTATTACAGTGTATACTGTGTAATTTACTACTTAAGCGCTATTAGAAATTATGTGACGCAAATGTCGACTAATTTATATGCCGATCACCATAAACAATGCTCTGCACGCCTCCTCTCATTACCTATGAGTTCATATGTTTAGAAAAACCCGGTGTGCTTGTCTCATATAAGCACAACGGTTTAGAAAAAGATGCACCATACAGTGTACTGAAAAAGGGTACAAAATCACTTTCGAATAGAGAGGAGGGCTGTAAGAACAAATGTCAGCTGTACCGAAGGTGCCATTCACCGATCACGAATTTTCAGTAATGTTTTCTATTTTGTAATCGACTGTTTCATTGACATCGTCTAACCCTGGAATTAAATTAATTACCGCATTTACAGGCTACGATAGATGCCGTTATTATGTAAATAGAGAAAAAAAAAAAAGGTTTACTTACCGAGTTGTGGTAGCTCTTCCAACCTGCAACAAGGAAAGATTAAGTTTCATAGTCTGGATCAAAATGAATCAAAGGTTGTTAAACATTTTTAATTAGCAATAATTCAAACGTAATTGCGTTTTTTCGAACACTGCATGGGCAATAAACATAAATAACAAGAGATATTAACATTTATTGATCAATAAATAGCTTAAAAGGGTCGCTTCTGAATGAATAAGAGGAGATAAGTAAAATTTCGTGTTGACCTTCCTGAAATTTTAATGTCGTGGTTAACGTCTCCATTGTTTCGTCTCCGTGCGTTGAAATATGTAAGAAATCTTTCTTGGTCATAAAACATTTTTATAGACTAACTAAAATTCCAACTGTCGCAGTCACCATGTCATCGTTTTATCACTTGAAAAGCTTACTTACAAATTTATAGTGTTGTTTCCAAGAGTGAATAAAGTACGTGCTTGCACGCATCGATTCAGAAGTCGGATTTCCGGAGGTTTCTCAACGCATCAAGAAAAAAACGCGCAATTAGTATTCAGAATCCGATTTCTCCGGCTGACTCATATTTGCCAAGCATGATTTTATTTATTGATGTCATAAATGGCACACATGTGAAACATTGTAATTGATTTATCAAGTCGATTATCGATAAATTATCTCAACGGTAGCGCTTGCTGGTGCTACAATTTAATGGTTCCGTTAATGTGCGTATTTACTGTTTACAAGGACCCCATTGCCGCCCCCGCCTATGTAATTGAATGTTTTTACTATCATTTGTAAGGTGATCGTGACGAACGAGATTTATGACGATTATTAAAAACCGCACCTGTGCATGAAATAGCTTACAACGTTTTAATAAAATCAATGCGTACTCGGCACTCGTATTATATTGATATACACATAAAATTTCCTTTCACTGACACTTTGGGTCAAAAACTTTGCCGTTAAGCAGTGGCGGAACGGAAGGGGCGAAGGGAAACTGCTTTAGAGCTAATTATGCTATGTCGCAATTTAAATCATGATGTATTGCTAAGATCCATCGACACCGCAATTTATTCTGAAAATATTCGCGCCATTTCGATCACACAGCAGAGTTAAATAGTTTACAATGTGATGTTTCGTGCTGTAGTAGAGAGAAAATTTGTCTCTGGTGGTGAAAGGAAATTTTGTTGTTTTCTTATTATTGATCTTGTTTTTCATGCGTTTATCTCAGTTATGAGAATTAAACCAATTGATTCTCATATAAATGTCCTTCGTGTAGTCAATGATTTTTTAAAAGGTTTAACAATCCACAATTTTAATGAAAAAATTGCTGTATATTTTGAGTCCAAAAATAGCAGTGATTTGTTTTTATTTAGATAATTACTAATTAAAAAACCGTCTGTACATAAAATCTCATCACTATGTGGCGTAACTGTCACAAGCAATATACCAGGTGTCTGGAAAATGGCGGGTTAATTCTTCGCTAAGCTCTTAACAACCAACTGGAGAGTCTGGGAAAAATAGTAAAAAAAATCTCACATTTTGGTGGAGTTATAATGATTTTAAAATTGGTTGTTTTGCTACGTTTAACAACTAAACAAGACATTCATTATCACAATAAATAGTAATAAAACTTTTAGTTAATATTTCTGTCGCTCATGACCATGTTTAATTACCATTTCAGTTAGAATGTATAAAGATATGGTTGTGGTGTTTTTGTAATAATTTGATAAAATTCCATTTGACAACAATGTTTACCTGATATAAAGCGAAGGTAGCTACAAATAAGCAAAAATTGAGTAAGCAGTTAAAAATGTCTTGGTTACCAGTAGTGTATTATTTTGGGAGCCCATGGAGATTTTTTTTTTGTAAATTATTTAAAACAATTTTGGGGATTTTGGTGTTCTGTTTGGTGTTTGCTAAGATAAAACTGATTTTGGCAATGGCATACCTTCTAAGAAAAGAGAGGGTGGGTGGGTGGGGCTAGTTGCTGCTAAGATAAAACTGATTTTGGCAAATGACATACTCTCTAAGAAAAGAGAGGGTGGGTGGGCGGGCGCTTTCTATTTTCTTAGAGAGTTGTCATTTGCCAAAATCAGTCTTATCCTAGCAGGTACTAGTCCCGCCCACCCACCCTCTCTTTTCTTAAAAGGTATCTTATTTGCCAAAATCGGTCTTATCTTGGCAGCTACTAGCCCCGCCCACCCACCCTCTCTTTTCTTAGAAGGTATGCCATTGCCAAAATCAGTTTTATCTTAGCAACCACTAGCACCACCCGCCCACCCTCTCTTTTCGTACAAGGTATCTTATTTGCCAAAATCTGATGACTAATTTTTACAAAAAGATTATCAAAATTTCGAAACATTACGAGCTGACTTATATGCACAAGACACGAATTTTGAACATCTTCTCTAGTGTTTAGTTGGTTATGCTTTAATAGATTTTTCTTTTTTTTTTGGTTTTGCTTTTTTGTAATTTATAAATGTCACATTAAATGTATTTTTTGGTTTATTAATTAATGAAAAATAACAGCTTGTTTTATTAATAATAATGTACAACGATTATTTTACTACCGTTGTTATGGTTATTGTCCTAAAAAAAATAAAACGTGGATTTTAGTCACCATCGTTATTATAAAATTACGTTTTTCTGCTCATATTGAGAAAATGTTGAATTTTTAGTGCATTTTGCATTGAGCAAATTAACCATTTTTACTGCATTTTGCATTGAGAAAATTGACCATTTTTCAATCTATTGAAGAATGATCATTTTTCTCCACAGCTTTTGTCCAATCAGAACGCGACATTTCCTTTTCTCCACAATTCCCCACTATCACCCCTAATAAAAATTGAACTCCTCCATGCGTTACCCTGGTTATATTTTGTTTACCCGTCATCATTTTTTTAAAAATTGATAATCTTTTTGTCTTTATTTTCTTGATTATATGAGCAGAAAAAGTAAAAGTATAGTGTTAAACACTCGGATGAGTGAACTCTCATTCTCGTGAATTGACCAATTTTCTCACTCGCTGAACAATATACTATTTTTTCATAGCCTACATCATAAAGATTTTTTTTTATCTTTGACCTGTTTTTGAGTTAATTTTGGGACCCCGTTTTTTTTTGAAAAATTTAAAACAATCTTGAGGTTCTAGGTATTCCTGTGTGGAAAGAATTTGAAAATGCCTTGGAGCCTCTAGTGTGTTTTCTTATAAGAATTTAATTGAATTTCTTACAGGATACGTTTGCTGAAATCAGTCTTATCCTAGTAGGTACTAGCCCTGCCCACCCAACCTCTATTTTTTTAGAAGGCATCTCATTTGCCAAAATTAGTCTTATCTTAGCAGCTCCTAGCCCCGCCCGCCCCCCCTCTCTTTTTTTAGAAGACATCTCATTTGCCAAAATCAGTCTTATCTTAGCAGTTACTAGCCCCGCCCACCCACCCAGTCTTTTCTTAGAGGGTATGTTATTTGCCAAAATCTGATGACTAATTTTTACAAAAAGATTATCAAAATTTCGAAACATTACGAGCTGACTTATATGCACAAGACATAAATTTTGAACATCTTCTCTAGTGTTTAGTTGGTTATGCTTTAATGGATTTTTCTTTTTTTGGTTTTTTTTTTTTTGTAATTTATAAATGTCTCATTAAATGTATTTTTTGGTTTATTAATTAATGAAAAATAACAGCTTGTTTTATTAACAATAATGCACAACGATTAATTACTACTGTTGTTATGGTTATTGCGTGGATTTCAGTCACAATCGTTATTATAAAATTACGTTTTTCTGCTCATAATGAGAAAATGTTGAATTTTTACTGCATTTTGCATTGAGAAAACTGACCACTTTTCAATCTATTGAAGAATGAGCACTTTTCTCCACAGCTTTTGTCCAATCAGAACGCGACATTTCCTTTTCTCCACAATTCCCCACTATCACCCCTAACAAAAATTGAACTCCTCCATGCGTTACCCTGGTTATATTTTGTTTACCCGTCATCATTTTTTCAAAAATTGATGATCTTTTTGTCTTTATTTTCTTGATTATATGAGCAGAAAAAGTATAGTGTTAAACACTCGGATGAGTGAACTCTCATTCTCGTGGATTGACCAATTTTTTCACTCGCTGAACAATATACTATTTTTTCATAGTCTACATTATAAAGATTGTTTTTATTATCTTTTTGGGACTCCGGAAACCCCCGTACATAACGTACTGAAGAGTAAAATCCGCCATTTTTCAGACACCCGGTAGAGCGACTGTATAATCTTAAATACTGAGTACAATGTAGCATTTACTATTGTATGTCGGCCATTTTTGGGATAAATGTACTAAACAACTCTGCGATACCTAATAGATTACAACATAACTGTCTTCTATATCCATTGTGGTTAAGATTGAGGTTAGTTTTATATGACGTGTTGACATCTGTGACATTGGCCTCAAAATAAAAGAATGAATTGTACATTAGATTATATTAATTATTATGATTTTCATTTGGCCACTTTTGCTTGCTAAAATCTTTATTCAATTTGAAATGAGTTTATAAAGGTATAGTTACACATCCATGTTTGTAAAGTCAAGCTTGACAAGTTGGTATCTAAAAGCTGCATAGTGGTTAGTCCAAAATCCATGAATTTAGAAAACAATTAAACTAAATTAGCAAGTTAATATAACAAATCAAGAAACTTAAAATACAAAATGTTGCTTGAAGTTGGTTATATTTATACGTTACACGTTATTAGCTTCACTAAACGGAAAATTTGTCGACGCGTTTCATCAGCTACGCTGCTTTGTAAAGATGACAGCATAGTAGACGATGAAGACATCTGTGTATTTTTGCAGTTTCAAAACAATTAAAATTTTATCGACTGAAAGGAGAGTTCCAGTACGCTGCCTCCATTCCAGCAGATTTCTTCTGATTAATATTGTCACCTGAATACAGGTAAATAGATGCCAAGAACGTTCGTCCACGATTGGTTAAGAATAAAATGCGTGGAATAGTCGGCACGATTTTCGCAATTCGGTAAATGAGTGTTAATTTGAGC